CACGCATTGTCTCGCGTGCCTTCCTTCGGACGAGCAAGCCCAATCCAAATGTGTTCAAGTCGTGGGGGAAGAGGCGGGAAGCCTCGCGTGCCAGTGCAAAAGGCATCCCAAATTCCAGCAAGGCGCTCAACACCGCGTCTGACTCTGAAGGAAGCGCAGGAGGGGTTGGCGTGGAAGCCTGCATGCCCGCACACACAGCAGGCAGCCAGGGCCTGGCAATTGGAACGCTGACACCGGCCGCAGGCAGCTCCCGCGGCAACATCTTTGGAACTAGAAGCTCACAGTGTCCACAGAGATCTTTTTGCTGCTGTGTGTATAGCAAGACAGGAGCACATGTGACACGCGCTGGCAGAAGCACATGCAGGGGCAGGACTTGCGGGGGTTGATGCAAACAGTATCGCAAGACACACTTAGAAGGCACATGCAGAACAAGGAGGCCTGACCGCAGTTGAAGTGGGAAGGACTGCGCAGCTGCGTCGATGTGCCACTCAGTTGTGAAACCACCCAACTGGATCGTGTCAGCATCCGCGTGAGCAGGGTGTGCAGGATGTCGCCGTAACCATGTCGCCACTTGCCAGCGTGCGTGCTGCACGCTTCCCAACTGACTCTGCAGGGCAAGCCAAAAGCAGTCCCCGCCACCTGCATTTGGGACAATGACTAGGCCAAGGCGTTGCAGCATGTGACCGAGCCATTCGGGCATAAGGCAAGTGGAAGCAGCTCTCAGAGGCGATCGCAAACGCATGCGGCAGTGACTTGGCGAACTGTCCTCAATGGGATCCGTTTCTTGGCACACGCTTGCTGGCGCTAAGGAGGAGCGAGCAGCCCGCCTGCCACTTCTCGATGCAGACATTTGATGAGCGCTCGCAGGCGGTTCGTCCGAAAACGGGACGCCTTGAGTTGAATTCATTTCTGTGCTGGCAGGCGAGGCAAGGATTGCGCCACATTGCAAGGCAGGCAAAGGTGAGTGCGTCGCAGAGTCTGGAGGTGCGGCCAGGCTTTGCGCCGGACCAGACGCTGTGCCAAACTGTAGCTCGGGCAACGTGCGCACACTGGCCTGCGCGCTTGACCCCAGCTTGATATGCGAGATGCCGTGCCCAGGCCCTTGCAAACATAACGTCTCTGCATGCGCGTGCACAAGCAGCTCAGGATTCCATGCGTTGTCGTGCAGAGGGTTGCCGGCCTGATCCAAGCCTTCCAGCTCAACTGCTTGCATCATGGCTAGTGTAGGGGGTCGGTATATGTACGCTCCCTCTGCTTGGCTGGCAGGCGCGCCGTCGAACTGGGCACTCGCTTGCTGCGCGAAGAAGCCTGCCTGAGCATGCAGGAGCCTGACACGGTCCAGCAGCAAGGCGGAAACACACAACATCGCTTTCATTTGGAGCGAGAGCGTGCTGTCCTTGGACTGCCTGCCAAGGCCTGCAAGCTTGATCACTGCCAGAAACATGCCCAGCGCTGTGACAAACATCAACACCGACACGACGGCGTCCACTCCAAGCTTGCAAGCAACACACAGTGCGCACGCAGCTTGGATGCTGCGAAGCCATGGGACAAGTGTTGGGCGAGCGATGTCGGGGCCGCTGCTCCGAGCACCATCTTGGTGGCCCGGGCGATATGTGCGGGAGGATGGCTGGAAGTGACGCGGTGGCAAGGGTGGAGCGGGCGGGAAGGAAAGCTGGCCACTGCCCTCATTAAACAGGACGCGGACGAGGAAGGGCCAGCCCCAAGCTGGCGCGTCAACACGGCGCGACGGGGGGGGGGTGGGAGGAACAGCAGCACGGCAAGCACAGCCATCATCAACACACGCGCAGGTCGAAGGACGCCAGTCTCACGATGGTCCTGTCAACGCACCCGCCCAAGTTGCTTGGCCATGTTTGAGCCACTGACGGTGACCAGTCCTTGCTCGCTGTGAACTCGCCACGCGCCTGGCCGGACACGACAGGAGCACCACAGAGCAAACTTGCAGTCAGATTGCAACTTCTCGTGTTGAGTGCCAATAACTGCACACTAAATAAATAACACTTTCTGCCGCAGTTGCGTTTTTTTTTAAGTTTCTGATTTTGTCAGACCCAGGCACGAAACAAGGAAGCACACTCTGACGGCGCCTTCTCCGGAGGCATGGCCGTGTCAGTGGGTGTGTTGTCCTGCAAGGCTGCGCAAGTAGATGCGCATAACCCTGCGCACAAGTCCTGGCCTTGGTTTTCAAAAGTGTGACCAGTCCCAAGACGAAAACAAGGAAGCGCTCATCCTTCGCACCGTACGACCGCACCTTCTCCGGCTGCGCGGGCATATCAGCGCACGTGTCATCCTGCAAGGCTGAGGGCGGTGGCATCTTCGAGATCATGGGGCAGCATGCATCCTAACCCCTGCCCAAGAAGGAAACAAGGAAGCAAACTCTGACGCTGCGCCTTTGGCGGCGTCGCGGCCACGTCATGTGTGGGCCTTGATGATAGTTTCCTGCCACGCCCCGTGCTTGGCTGCCTCCAGCGGCTCCAGAGGGGGGAGGTCGTCGAGGTCACTGTCACCCAGCGCATCCTGGCGACAGCTGCAACGTCTCCAAACATCTCATTGCACACACGTCCTCCGCAGGCGGCTTCGACAAGGCGCCCTGCGCGAGACAGGCTCGGAATTGTGATGATTCTGAGCGAGCAAACGTGACCGTAGCTCAGGCAGCCGCGCCAACATCCCCGAAATTGAAATCGCACACCTCCTCCTGCAGAAGAAAGACAGAAACCTTCAACTGCTTCGTTCAAGCGCGCCAGTCCTCATCATAGTCAGCCCATGGAAGGCGACCAGAATTGATGCCAAACTTGCCCTGCCAGCAATGGCGGCTACTGTACATCTCTTGCTACATAGAAAGAGGTTTCTTGAGCTGAGTCGAGCGCCATAGTGACAATCGGAAGTGAGCGCAGTAAGTGCTTTGACGCTGAATGCGGCTGCAGCAATGTGTGTCCGTATGTCTCACCTCTTCGTCCGCCACTCAATTCTCGATCCTCCTTGCGCTGTCTCCATCTCTTGCTTCCAAATGACCCGCACGGTCGCTCAGGCGCACCCGCTCAGCACTACGCCCGTTCCCACAGGATAAACATTCCCGCTCAAACGCACCTGCTCAGCACCCCGCCCACTCCTGCCAAAGAGATGCGCCTGCACAAGCGCCGCTCCTACCACGCTGGCCAAATCACAAGCGCAACCGTTGAATTGCGCCCGCGAAACACAGCGCCCACGCCCGCCAAATGACAAGCGCCCGCTCAAGTGCGACCACTCAAGGTCGTGAGCACAAGCGCCGAGTTCCCGCTCCTGGCGCGCGCACACAAACAAACAAACAAACGAACGAACGAACAAACAAACAAACAAACAAGCAAACATGCGCACACGCACACAGACAAACACACGTACTACACACACGCACACCCAAAACAGCACAAACGCAAAAGGACACAAACACAGAAACCGCTCAACACCAACGCCACACACAACAACACAAACACGCAGACACGAACGCTGGTAAGAAGGGCCAACACTCGAGTCAGTCTGGGACGGGAAAGCTTCTGTTGCCTGGCTGCTCCGACGAACGCTGCACGGTTTGGTTGAAGCTCTCTCCCGAAACATCCACTCAGCGCGCGCTCTGTTTATCTTAGTCATGCAGTTGCAATCAAGGCGTCTTGACCCCTCCCCAACAAAAAGAAAGCTCCGCACTGGGCCAACAAATGCTGCAAGCTCTGGATGAAGTCCAGCTTCGCATGTGTTCGAGCTCGAAGAGCGAGGGCAGCCTGATCCGTAGAATCTACCGCTGACGTGTTTTGTTGCACCCCAAGCTCCTCCTCAGCATTGCCTGCATCACCTGCACGCAGGCCGGCCCAAACACTTGGACCCCAAAACATCCCCGGCCTCTGTGGCCTTGCGACGGGCTTCTCATGCCACGTTGCCCGACCTTCAAGAAGCTCTGTAAAAAATACCGCGCAAATCGCCCCGGGCAGTCGCCAGCATCCCCGCCAACATCCTCTGCATCCTCGCAAACTTTGCCAGCATCCCCGGCCTTCCTGCATCACCAGCATCTGGGCGTTCCAGCATTCCAAACATTCCCTGCATCACTCAAGCCCTTCAAAAAAAGGCCCCTGAGAGTAGGTTTTGGTGGTAGGCGAACATGGCGGGCAAGTCTGCGATTGAGTCAGCGGTTTGTCTTGTGCACGTGCGGCTGCCGCCGCTGTGTGAAAAACATCGCACATACCGTGTATTCTTCTTTTTTCCACAAGTTTCTGTGGGGCTGGAACGGGCTGCCGGGGATGCATTTTTTATTGATTGGTAAATCCAATGTTTCAAGAAACTCGACATGTTGAAGGCCCCAAACATCAAGCTTTCACAATTGCCTTGACGAAAGGACCAAGCATCAAGAGACCAAAGGATCAAGGGACCAGAGGACCAAGGATGAAGGGACCAAGATCGGCAGACCAAGCGACCGAGGGACCAGAGGATAAAGAGCCGGGACCAAGGGACTAAGGGACCAGGAACAGACCAAAGCACCAAGGGACCAAGGGACCAGAGGACCAGAGGACCAGAGGACCAGGAGATGCAAGGATGAGGACCGAGATAAGCAGACCAAGATAACCAAAGGACCGAGGCCCAGGACCAAGACTGGACCAAGGGACCAAGAAGGAAAGCAAGAGAACAAAGAACCAAACCAAAGTACCAAGGGAACAAAGGACCAAGGCACCAAAGGACCAAGGGACCAAAGGACCAAGGGACCAAAGGATCAAGGGACCAAAGGACCAAAGGACCAAGGGACCAAAAGACCAAGGGACCAAAGGACCAAGGGACCAAAGGACCAAGGGACCAACGGAACGGGACCTGGCATGTTCAAGGAACCAGAGAATCAAATGACCAAAAGAACACCAAGCCGCGGAGTGAGAGTGTGTAAAGTTTTGTTTGATTGCTGAACAAGTTTTTGTTGATGGCGGAAAGTTTTTTTTGATTGCTAAAAAGTTGTTTTTGATGGTCATCCCCGCCTGGCAGTTGCTTCAGCGCGTCCCCCACGTTGCTGTTGCGGGCTTCCTTGCCCATGTCGAACGCCGCTTTGCCAAAATTCACAACCTCGTCGCAATGCTCAAGCTCGCCAAACGACATGATGCATGTGTGGATTTGTGGGGGTTCCTGCTATCGAATGGCCTGACAACTTGGGCTGAATTGCGCCTGGCAACGTCCTCGCCGTTTACCTCTTTCAGTGCGTCGACACCGCCTTTGTCATCGCTTTCCTCTGTCGATTCGATAGTGCCTGCCGTCTTGGCCTTTTGCGAGAGCTGGATGTTTCCCAGCTTCGCAGATGCAGCCGGAAGCGCGCGGGGCTGGCTTTGCCAAACCTGGGCTGCAAAAGTTAAACGTGTTTTTGGGCAAGATGGTCGGAAAAACCGCCTTGTTTGTTGACCAAGCCGATGGGAAAAAAAACATTTTGACCCAGATGGTAGGAACATCATCTTGTTTTGATCTCAAGTTGGTGGGAGAAAGCCCGCGAAGCTCTCAAAGGTCAAAGGTGCAACTGGTTTCAGGTCAAGCCAATAACGAGCCACCACGCCCGCCACCAGGACGCCCGCCACAATCCCCAGGATGGCCACACGTGCTGGCCAAGCCGGCGGGGGGGGGGGGTGTTCGCCGCCTTGCGGAGCTCGGCGCGCTCCATCAACGCCTGGCTTTCCGCATCTTGCCTGGGCGTGGGCTGAGTCCGAAAACATGCGGGCGCCTTTTTGGGTATGTCAGCTTCCCGTTTAACCAACCTCTAAAAGGGTAGCCCCAAAACAAGACACGTGTTTTGTCGGGGGTCCCTCTGGCGGAGGTCATTTACATGTCCACCTATACACAATGCTTGAGGCGGTTCTCCATTGAAATTTATAGCCATTCTCAAACTTGTGTTTCTCTTGTGCCACAAAAAGGCAAAGGCCCCACAACCACGTGTTGGGATGTCTGCTTTTGTTGGGGTTTGAAAGGAAACCAAAAGGGAAACACACATTTTGGGGTTCCCCTACAAGAAGACACACCCATATTCAGCCGGTCAGCTGAAGGGAAGCCATTGGCGTAGACGGCACAAGTCTCGGGCTTCTGGAAGTCTCGAGCAGGAAATTGCTGCGCCAATCTCTTCCGATGGCAACTCCCCTCTGAAAACACCCACTGCAAAATGGCTGACAATCCCAGGCCTAGACATCCAAAGCTTGAAGTTGGCACAGTTCTGCTGCAAATGCCTTGACTGCCCAATCTCCGGAACATTGCTTGCCCACGGAAACCAAAGTAGTCCTTAGGGGCCCGGCTCCGAGCCCAAAACTTGCCAAACTTGTATTGAAATCTTGGTACTCAGGGGTGGTTTTCTGCCCGAAGAAACGGGCTCGCACTCCGGGTACCCCCTACAAGCCTCCATGATCCCTAGCTTCCAAGGCCATTGTTTCTTGAGGCGGTACCTCCTTGGGGAAAGTACATGAAATCCCCCCCGACGTCCCAAGATGGTAGAGGAAGTGGAGCTCTCCTGGCCCTAAAAGCACTGGATGGGGGGGAGATCAAGCAAAATGTAGAAAGGGGAGTTGAAGGAACTGAAATTTCTTTCTACATTTTTCTAACAACCAATGAAAAACACATTGAAAAACCATGTATCAAATAATAAATGAGGTTAATACATCACAACCTTATTCATTCTAAGTAATTCCTAGAAAAGATACACACCTTATCCATTATTTTTTCACTACTTAACCTATTTCATTTTCCTTTTTGTTTATCCATATCCATTTTGTATTTTAAGTCTTTTTCCAATTCTCAGAAACTCCAGTTGTTCTTCATTTTTCTTTTTACCTTATTCAATGCTCGTGAATTTTTCACTCAGACTTAAAAATATGACTAAAACACATTTCCACCTAATAGTTCCTCAAAACCAAACAGCCAAAGCACGAACAAAAATCAAAAAAACATACCAAGTCTAAACAACGCACTTTGAAAGAGGCAAGCAAATTAGGAAAACTAATTCAATCTTTACAAACGATAAGTATACTACAATTATAACAAATAACATTTTACATGTTATTATTATAGTATGGTTATAACTTAAGTTCAGGATAAGAATTTAATTGATGATGAGTTGAGGCGTAGGCGTGATGGGTAGAATGCTTCGACAACACACCAATCCTACGAATTTGAGACTCGAATCCCGAATCCCACGAATTTGGGACTCGAATCCCCTAATTTTGGGACTGGTGTCTTGTTTCTTTGATCCACCAAACTCACCAAGATTTCACAAATTAATTCGCTAGGTATTTTATATAAATCTTCCTGCTTATGTATTATTGGATTGTCTCCCCATTTTTCCATGGTGCCCGATGGAAGCCGTTGTGCAGTTTCAATATGTCTATTATTCCTGATTTTCCACAATCCTTTCTACATAAATCTCTAGGTTTCCAAGTTGTAATGCCATAGCCTAGTCCTCTTTCTATAATTAAATCCATATTTACAATAATGGACATCTTTAAATTTAAATCCATAAACTCCTGATTTTTTCATAATCCAGTTTGAGGATTTTCGATTACAAAATATTTAGGATTAAAATATTTGATAATCTCAATAGTTTTTAAGACAATACTATTTGCATATTCGATATTCCTAATTCCTGTTGCTTTTGCTTTGCTGTATTCGGTGCACGGGGGACTACTCCAAATAAAATCAAAGTGGTTTCTGTCAATCTGTCTGTAATCCCACTCCAAAATATCAGTGTTGATATCAGCATTTTCAAGTCTAATGATATCACATTAAAACCTAATTTCCTTGCGATATTTCCCACACTACCAGTTCCGCTAAATAATTCTAATAAATTCATATTATTAGAATTACTTAGATATTAATTATTCAAATAATACACATACTCCATCATCATTTTTCGGAATTCTATAAAACTCTAATGTTTGTTGCTTTGGTTGTTTGATTTTTCCTGTATTCAACATATCACAGTATTTCTTTTGCTTTGTAGGGTAGTCGCCTGATGGTCTTCCTATAGATTTTGCTTGAAAATTATTATCCATGTTTTCCTTCTCTTCCGTGCTTTGTTGTTCGCGCTCAACTGGTTTAAGTTTTTCATCAATGGATTTAATCATATCGTTTAAGGTTTAAAATATTTTTACCGATTAATGTTATCTTCTTCATTAACGCATTAATAGTATAATTCTCATTTTCAGACATTACTATATATATTTATTTAGATAATTATTTATTTAATTATGTATTTGTAAAGTTCAATTTTGTTAAAACTACTCTTTAAATACTAATTTTTCATCATTTCCTTTACAGTATTCTGTGTTTCTTTTTCTTCTTGACTACTTGCTCCTGTCACATCACGACCCCATTTAAAAGTTATATTATGAACATCTGTTTCTAAGTTGATACCGTCTTTAGTATTTATCAATATTCATATTCTTATCATGTTTACTTATTTTGAAACTTGTTGGAATACACGAGCATTTACAATTTCCTTTCTTTTGTATTTCTAGTTCATTCTTCATCTCTAACATCTTTTTGCACATAGGACGAGCAAACTCAACGACCGATGAGTCTGTATCTTCATCTGTTGAAGAAACACTTAAACCTGTCTTATTATTTTTGTTGTCTTTTTTCCCCATTTATATTAGCATTTACATTTCTATTTTTCTATATTCTCTACTTCATCTATTGTATTAATATAATCTGAATAACTTCTATTCATATAAAATAATAAGATAAAATAATTATTTGATCTTATTATTTCTTGCAAGTTAGAGTATTCGTGGCTCAGCAATGGGGTTTTCTTCGTGCTGCATCAAACTAATTAGCTTCAATGCTTATTGATTGAAGCAATGGAAAGCCTGTTCCATTATGTTATTCACCACCACTCATAACATAAAGATGTTCCATTTAATAGTAACTACAAGTGAATTTTTAAATATAATTTTTTAAATATCGTTAATATTACTTTTACTATGTCCGTTAGTTCACCACCAAAAATAGAACCAACAAATGTTAGACAGTATGAGTTTAAACAACCATCATATGATAAAGCAGACAAATTGCCTTTTCGCTCAATTATATGTAGTTCATCACAAGGTGGCAAAGGTATTTTAATACAGAACCTCGTGTTAAAAGAATATCGCAACTGCTTTGAACGAATATACATTGTTTCTCCAACAACAATTGATGATAGGTATAGAGAAATTATTAAATATGTAGAAACTGAATTAAACATAGATAATAATAAAGAACAATATTTATTTGATGAATATAACCCAGAAGCATTACAAAATATAACTGATACACAACATAAAATCATAGATTATCAAAAGAAAACAGGCATGAATAAATTATTTAGTTGCTTACTAACTATTGATGATTGTGCAGAAGATAAAACATTTATGAGATATAGTAAAATATTACAAGGTTTGTATACAAAATCAAGACACTTCGGTTTATCCGTTATTACAGCCGTTCAAAAGTATAATGCGTTGGCACCTATTGTTAGATTGAACAAAAGCAGTTTATATATATTCAAACTAAAGAATATGTCCGAGGTGGATACATTTCTAACGGAACAATCAGCATTAGTAGATAAACACACATTAATGAACATATGTAAAACGGCGGTTAATGACCAGCCTTTTATTTTTTATTTGCCAAACTTCGCGAGAGTCATGTAAATAAAATATTTATGGTTCGTTTTGAACAGGAGATACATATAACTGAAAAATATCTAATTAAATAATAAAATATTAATATTATATGATATTTTATGATTTACCAATAGACATTAAAAAAATCGTATTATCTTATAATTTAGGTGATGTTAGATTATTAAAAACCCCTCTGAAGAGGGAGGGGGGTAATGGGTGGTTTAAACCGCCCGACAAATGGGTACCACCCCAATATTGGATGTAGGTGGGTTGTAACCATGGTTGGGATTCAGCCAACTCATGATGTTCCAGCTAGAACTGTGGCGCTAACCTGCATACCTGACGTAGTTCGAACATCCAAGTCAATATTGTAGGCGGCATGAACAAACAAATCCGCTCAAATCCGGTCCACCGCTTTAGTGTGAGCAAAAACAAATAGCCGTGAATTTGCTCTCCACTTGTAACATCTAGAGTCTAGAGCATCAAGCTTATCAAGACTTCTGGTTGGAAGCGTGCTCTGGGTTGTTCTCAATGAATCTGGGAAGGGGCCCTCCGAGTCGCATTTCCAGGACCCAAAATGGCATGCATGAGCGCGACATGTCTTGCCCTTGAAGCGACAAAGGCTATCAGGGGGGCCAATTCCTACTCTTAAACTTTCCTTTCACGTCTGGGGGCTTGTTCTCGCAACACCCAACAAATGGCAACAGGTGCGCAAAGTGGATTGAGACCACCATCCTGAGGTCGCAGCTTGATCCGCTTGATCCCAAAGCGTTTCGAGTCTACGATCTCTGCGATACACCTGACGCAGGGCACCTTTTTCAGTTCATCGATTCCATGTGGAGACCTTTCCGAGCAAAGGTGCTGAACATTTGGCTGGGAAGTGCTTGATCCAAGAAGGTTTCGACCCTGGAAATGTGACGCGAAAACAACCGCACTCACCCCCGATGTATCCGGTTCACCACTCACAACCCTTCGCCATGTTGCGTTTGCTTTTAGGGTGGTTCCCATGGTTATCCACGGCAAATCCAACAATGGGTTACACTGCAAACAGAATGTTCAGAGTCTGTGTTCAGAGTCCACCCTAAACCATAAGATAGGTGTTGAAGAAATCCCAGAAAATGAAGTCAATGGCCTGCTTTTTCCAACAGCTGAAAGGTTTCACGATGGTTTTATGGTTCCACGAGAGCTCCACAACTTTCTGCAAGGGCTGCGGGCGGCCCTGAGGTGAGGTTACGAGCGCTCCAGCAGGGTTCCACCAAAGTTCCACGAGGTCTGCAGGGTGGTAGGTGATCTCCGACTGGCTTTGGACTGGTCAGTGGGCCCCTGAATTGTCGCAGGCCTGATCCTCCGCAAATTTTGGCCGTGAGTGGCTTCTCAAAATCAGCCCTGCAGGTGGGTTTCCTCTCAGCCTTCTGATCCAAAAACCCCCGACTTCGCAGTTCGACCCCGGCTGATTTTCTCAGCGCGTCGAAGCGCCCAGCGAGCGCAAGCGCCTTGGCACCGCCCGCGGGACCTGCGAACTTGGATCGGATGCCGTGGACTTTTTCCCCCGCACGGCACCTCATATGGAAACGACTGCAACCAGCGTAGCCCCTGATTCTTGAGCCCAGTCAGCAGGCTCAGATCGTCCAAAGGGGTCGGGTAAACGCGCAAAAGCAGGCTGGCATGTGTTGCTTCATTCCACTCTACGACATACAAAAAAGCTTGTGTATATTTTCCTACTCCCTTCTTTTGTTTTGGAGGGGATGGATCTCCTGGTTCCCAGTCGATTCCCCCGGATGTTCGCGCCCATCCGCTTGGATTGGATGTGCCTCAGCACTACAGAGGCGCTGCTCAGCAACGTGGGCATGAAAACGGCTGACTTAATTAAAAAGAAAGAAAAGAACCCCCTTCAAAAAGCCAACCACTCCGGGAATGAACATTTTGGTAGTTGGCTTTAAAAAGAACCCCCACAAATCGTGAAAAAGAGAAAGAACCCAACAAACGGAGGAAGCCACCCGCCGGAAACCGAGCCGCCCGCCCCCCCGCCGCCCCCGGCCTCAGACGCTCCTTGGACAGCGGCGCTTTCTGCAGCTCCGCCAGCAGCGGCAGCGTGGCCCGCCCCCGGGGCCTCCGATCCGAGCACCGCGATGCAGTGGTTCGGTGGAGAGGAGAAAAAACAGCGACGTGTGACTTGTGTGCTGTTTCTTGATTTGTTGTTCATGGTATCTCGACGACTCTTGGGAACTTCACATGTTTTTTGTGTTTGGTCGGTTTCTGATGACTATGATTTGAAAGCCCGAAAGGAAAAAGGGTTGGTAAGGGAAGCACAGGACACGGCCCATTTTGCTCATGTCAGACCTGGGCCCCAGGCAGTCCAGGCTGCCTGGCTGAAGGAGCCCGAAGAAGGATCTCGTTTCAAAAGGCGCAGAACAAAGGACCGACCGAACTCGGACACCTCAGTGGTGAGAGCCTTCCGAGCGTGTCCTGGCCTGATGGGTCCGCAGGAAGCCCAGGACTGCATCCACCAGTGTGGACTGGCGCAACAGCATTCCGTCAGAATCTTCCGTTTTCGAAACCCAAAAGAACGGGGCCCTAGCTGGCTCTTGTGTCCTGCTAAGAAACCTTGTTGACCAAGTCAGGGCGCGGAAAGGCTGTGAGGCGCAGCCCTTCACCCCGAACATGACGTCCGGAAACGCCTCCGGGTTGTCGGGTTGAAGTTGAAGTTTGTGGAGCATCGTTTCCGCCTCAGACCCGAAAGAGGTGCGAGTAACCCCCGTTCCAACTTCTCTGGGCATCCTTGTCAAACATCCCAAATACTCGGCCTGTCCGAACTCAGGCCCTACAATCAAGACCTGATATACGGAAAGGGTGGTTCAAAATACCTTCGCCCAGAGCTTCGATTGCCCAAATCCTCTCCGGTCCCACCCTCCGGGTTTCGAGCCATGCAAGTCGTCCAGCCGCGCTGAAAAGTTCGGCCGTAGCTTGAGCAAGGTCCCGAGCACCACGCGTAGCATTTGCGAAAGCGACACCCAGTGAAACTAGCCATAGTGTCTATGGTGCCATTGGTGCCTTTGGGTGCCATTTGGAGCCACGCAAACTTGCTGGGGGTTCTCCGGCCGAGCTCCGGCAGGCTTTACGATTTTGCTGACAACATAGGGGTACTGGATATTTGTCAAAAAGGAATTCAGCTCCAGTACGCCAACGCACAAACGAAACAGCTCCTCGAATGGAATCTGAACAGATAGTGTTAAATGTGCTCACACAAGCCACTCGCTCGTCAATCCATCCAACAGGCGACGAACTTGAGTGTACGCGCGTACGATGCGAAGTTTTTGGATCCGGCCTGTCAAACATGGCATGGAGCCAGGGCCCACAATCCCTCAATAAATTCGATGTCTACTAGACTCACGCTCAAGAAGGCGGGCAGTCGCGCGACCACTTCGAGCATGCCGCGGGGGCCTACAACGCCCGGCCGCAGGAGACGGTGTACGGGGCCCTCGAGGATGTGGAGAAGCAGCCGGTACCAAGTTCCGGCAGCTGCAGGATAACACCGACAAGTTCCGGCACAACAAGGATCTGACGGACCGGCGCGTGAAGGCCGTGGAGGACGCGGGGGCCTTCCGGGCGCCCACCAACGCGACGCGCAGCTTCAACCCGCAGCACGGCGACGTGCAGCGGCTGCAGGCCGTGGACCCTGCTAAACCTGGCCCTGCCGGCGCCGCACAGCGGTGACGACTTCCTGGGGCAGCCCCGGCCCAGGACCATCGACGGAGGGTCGGCATACGGCTGATAACAGGCTTCACGGAGTGCTGGAGACCGTTTGCGCAGGCTTCGTGAGACTTGCGCAAGCCCAAGTCTTCCCGCGTTTGGCTCTCTTCCTGTCAGATGCGGCGGATCCTGAGCAAGCCTGCCTTTTTGGTGGTGTTTCCTGGAAGCAGGGGAGAATGAACCCTCATTCAGCAAACACGAGCCCAAACCTTAAGGCGGACGCTTCCAGCAGCGCTTTCCGGTAGAAGGCAAAAAGCTGGTGAGATATCTGAGACACCTGAGATAGCCACTAAACCAAGACCAAGACTGTCTCAGGACTGTTGCAGCTGTCTCAATCCTTGGCTGGGCAAAGCATTGAAACATTCCCGGAGCGTCTGCTGGCTGGCTTGCGGTGAGCCCGGTCCCAAAGCATCTGCTGGCTGGCTTGTGGTGGGCGAAGCATTAAGCGCCCAAAGCATCTGCTGGCTGGCTTGCGGTGAGCGAAGCATTAAGCCTCCAAAGTGTCTGCTGGCTGGCTTGTGGCAAGCAAAGCATTAAGCCCGGTCCCGAAGCATGAGGTTTCCAGGAAAGTCCGCTGGGGTCACGCCCGCAGCGTCCTTGAATCCTGGACAGATCTCGCTCTCGACGACGCGGGAGTAGATCCGTTTGACCTCTTTGACATGTCCTTTCTTCACAGACTCAAAACCCAGATGCAATGTCAGAGGTCAGAGCTTGATCGGTCTAGATTGTTGCATTTTGTCTATTTTTTGAGCCTGTGCAGCTGTCAAAGCTTTTAGCTTTGGATTTTTTGGCATCTTGTTGAGCCTGTGCAAGTGTCAGAGCTTTTGGCTTTGGATTTCTCGCAAGCCTGCGCAGGTTTTGGGAGCTTTGGGTTCGTAAAACACGCACAGGCTCAAACAAATGCAAGACAAATCCAAAGCCTTTACTTGTTTCGGAAGATTGGGAGGCAGATCGCCGACCGTTTTCATAGAAGCCTCGCACTGCACTTCTTTCAGCTTCTAACATCATAGCTACTCAATAAAAGACCTTTGAAGCTTCTAGCAGCAGAGTAATGCTTGAAAGGAACTGTGCATGAAGTATAGGCCAGGGACATCAAAACAACAAACACGTGATATGTAGATATATGCTCGCCCCCTGTGATTGAATCCAGTGCAAGTGAAAAGGTGGGCTCTGAGAAAGAGTGCTACAGCGCCGTGTCGTTTGTTCAGGTTTACACTTTCAGGTATACACAGTCACATTGAGTTTAACATGGTAGCGGAGCAGTGACCCCTGGTACACGATCCACGACCACAAGTCAGGGTGAGCTCCAATACACACACCCACAGGTTCAGGTACATAGTAGTAAGCAGCATGACGGCACAACAGCAACAGGAATAGGAGCTGGAAGGAATCCACAAATACAAGATATCACAACCACGGTTCACAGGAGAATACAACACCTTCGAAGAGTGGAAATACAAGATGACAGCATACCTATGGCTACAAGACCCCGCATACAACAGACTACTGAGACAGTCAGAGCAATCAACAGGACAGGTTGCAAACAACCAACTTGAAAATGCAGCACCTTCACAACAAATGGCAGAACAATGGACACAACTGAGCAACAATTTGCGCTACATCTTAGTGAGCACATGCGATGGACCCGCATCTACAATCTGCAGACAAAACATGCAAGGCAACGGCTTTGAAACATGACGGCTTATACACGCAAGGTGCTCCATACCTCTTGGTGCAAGAAGCATTGGGTACCTTGCACGACTACTAAAACCACAACTGGATGAACAGAAGTTCAAAGACAGCTTCACAACATGGGACTCCAAGCACGAACAAGACAACAACACCCTAGTAGCTACCAGATGCAGTCAAGATTGCAACACTGCTCAATAAAAAACGGACCACTACAGCAACACCTACAGCTACAAGCAGGAAACATCACAACATATGCACAGATCAGATCGATGGTGATCGAGTACTACAGAGCAACAACATCGTTCACCAGGCTGCAAGCGATTACATCAGGCAACACCAACCAAGGACCGGCACCGATGGACATAGGAGCAGCATGGTACAACAAAGGCAAAGGAAAGAAAGGAAAGCACAAGGGCAAAGGAAAAGCACAACAAGGGCAAGGGATATAAGCTACGGGAACAACTACGGCTACAACAACTACAAAGGAGGAAAAGGCAAGCACAATCAACAACTGGTTGGACAAGGAATTTTTTTCAAAGGACAACAAGGATACGGCAAAGGAAAAGGATACAACAACAAAGGAAAAGGCAAAGGATACTACAGTAACCAACAAGGAGGAAAAGGAGCAAACGGAAAGCAGGCAACAAATGTTTGCTACAGATGCGGACAACCCGGACACATGGCCAAACAATGCAGAGCGGCGATCTACAACTGCGACACTGGAACCTTCGACACCAATGACCAGACAGATGACTGGCGCAATCAGGCACACTACGACAACAACTGGTACCACCAGGACCAGACACAGGTGCACCAACTAGCGTTACCACAACCACCACAGGTAGCAGATCCATCAGCAGTACCCATCTCAGGATAACCCGCAGGAGACAACAAGAAGGTCGGTCTTATGATTGACAGCGGTGCGGCTACACCTGTGTGTCCACCATGGTTTGCACCACAATTTCCACTACACCAACTGGAACATGGAACAGGACCACAACTCAGAACAGTGACCAACCAGCACATCAAGCTTTTCGGGCACAGATGGGTTTGCATGACAAACCACAGCGGACAACACATTGTCATACCATTTTACGTTTGTGAGGTTAAACAGCCGATTCTTTCAGTTACAAGGCTGGTGGAACAAGGTTTCCAACTTACATTGGATGACAATCCAAGGCTACAGCACGTCAAAGGATTCAACAGCACACTGGAGAACAGAAATGGCTTGTTCTTCCTACAAGCAGAGATCACAACATTGCCAAAGGGAACACACACACAGCACAGAACAAGGGCAGATTGGCATGATAGCACCGACCACAACGCTTACACCACAAGGTCCTGCGGATACAGGATATGCAGGAGACTACTGGCAGTTCAATAGAAAAGGCGAACTTGTCAGAGTACACAGGCAATACAGGAAGACACGTTTCACACCATCAAGAACACAGCGTCCAGTCCCAGCAGAGCAACTTGAGGACTACAGGAAAAGAACCATCAGATTCAAGGATGGTACAACGAATACGTTTGAGGACAAGTATCAAACAATGGGAGCGCCAAACAGAGCACAACAACAGATGTGGAAAGGAGAAACAGCATTCAGGATCAAGAAAGGCACAACATTGCCAGAAACACCATAGCAACAGTTTGCAACAAGACACAGCCAAGGAGCGAGCCACAGAAGGTCACACCACAAGTGATCCAGTACAACCCACGAACGCGATTGAGAGAGAAAACAACCAACACTACAGGAGTCAGCAGCACCACACACCACCAAAGGTGCAGCTGGACATGGACTTCCAAACGCTTCAGAAGTACATCCTGGAGGAGACTGGAAAAGAGTACACATTGAGCCACGCACAACGTTCTACATAACAGAGCAAACACATGATGGGCCAGACATCAAGCGACTTACACCTTGGAGACAGACCAAGGTACAACCAGTAGGACATGAGCACAACACAAGCTTAGTGGAAGGTGAATGGACAACGCAGCAAGCAAAGACATCAGACAAGCCCTGGACAGGATGGACAAACTTTGAGGAACATCAGGAGTTCCCAACACAACTTGAGTCAGATGATGAGGAGCAACAGCAAGGTACACAAGCAAAAGCAATACAAGCACCCGAGCAACCAACACTACAGGAGATACTCGAGCACAACGTGGTATGCGCGCGTACAAGCGAGAGGCAGACAGAACAATCACCCAAAGCAGCACAGCAAGCTTCCAATCACACAGCTTGACTTCGGCTACATCAAAGGCTTTGATGGCAGTGACGTGCGTCCGACTCTCACAACAATTGACATCCAATCTGGGATGATCATGGCACTACAACTGACATGCTCTTCGACTATGCAGTTACACAGCTACAGCACTTCCTTATTGAATGTGGAAGGACAACACCCACCATACTACAATCGGATCAGGAAGACTTCCTGACAGCGCTCATCACAGCAGTGGCCAACAAGATTGGCAACATCACCACAAGGAACTCTGGAGCATACAGCTCACAATTACAAGGTGGAGTAGAACGGGCACACAGGACATTGTTTGCACAAGTCAGAACACTCAAGGCACAAATCAAGCAGAACTACAACAGAGACGTTTCAATGAAACATCCACTCATGCCTTGGATAGTTCGACGCACTGCATACATCATGAACAGGTATGCAGTCCACAGCAATGGACGCACAAGCTACTTCAACAGATGGAACAGAAAGCAACACACACCACTTTGCGAGTTTGGTGAGACAGTGCAGTACATGCTACCAACAGTGATTCAATTTCCAAACCCGAGCCAAGGTTCTATAATGGAATCTGTCGCTTTCCTTCTGCTGCTGTGCTAGTTGTTGCGTCTTTCTGTGATGGTGGTGCCTTGCTTGTAGCTGGCATTGTCAATGGTGTTGCGAGAGTTGGTGTGTGCAGTGCTGATGCGGGTGTCTTCCATGGACCTGTGTGTACACAGCCCAGTAGTTGTTGATTGTATTTATGAGGCATAATCTGCCTTCTGATTGCCCTTGCTCTAACAATCTTGTTGTAGATCCCAATAAGGGATTCACCTGTGGTTGTGTCCTTGCCAAGCCAGAGCAAGTGATCAGCAGACAAACACCACCGCCTACATCACCCACAAGAGAAAGAGATGACACAGTAGCAGAAGGCAGCACAGCAAGCAACAGCGAACCACAACAGGGAGACAAGCACTCGAGCGGCCTACAACAACCGAGCAACCTAAAGGAAAGATGAGAATCAACACAACAAAGGATGGTAAACAAATGGAGACAACATCAAATGAGGACACACAAGAAATCGAGAAGGAATGGATCCTACTACAGCCGATCACACATGACACTGAAGGCTTGGATCCACAACAGGTAGCACAAGGCATGAAGAAAGAAGTACAACAAATGAAAGACCAATCAGTCTTCACAGAGATCGAGGGCAACACAATGACACCAGAACAACAAGCAAACATCATCGAATCAAGATGGGTTCTTAAACAGAAACACAACGAAGTACGAGCACGCATACACAGAGCCCATTACAGACCACGACCTACTCTTCGCAAGTACACCACTGTTTTGCATACTGAGAGTACTTCTCACAATGGCACTGGTGTACAACTGGTCAGTCTGTACAGGAGATGTGAGTGTTGCAATTCTACATGCGGCAATCTCATACAACTTGGTAACTTGGCAATGCGACCGCCACACGAGTTCTACAATGAAGAAAACAGACACATAATGTGGCGGCTAAACAAAGCCATTTATGGCTTGAGATCATCACCAAAACAATGGCAAGACCAGATAGCACGCATCCTCACAGTCACACTTGAACTTGTCAGATGCAGTGTCTACAGATCGAAAGACTGCTTAGTCTACATCATGACCTATGTAGACGATCTCCTATTCATAGGAGTGCAAAGCATCATCGACACCTTGTTCAGCAGAATACAAAAGGAAGTTCTGCTGAGACACACAGGCGACCTAACAGTGGGATCGACCATACACTTCCTTGGTCGAAACATATCACACAAGGCAATTACATCGACATCAGCTTGAACAGCAACTATGTCGACATCATCCTGGAAGAATCAGGAATGACTACATGTAACCCATCACCATCACCAGGAGTGTCACACATGAAAGCTACAACAGAAGATGCACAGGCGGCTTGTTGGCAAGATACAGCGGCTAGCGTGCGCACGGCCAGACATCAGCTATGGAGCAAAGGAACTAGCAAGATCACTACAAGCACCAACACAACTTGACAACAAGAAGCTCAAGCACATGATCATTGACACATACACCGATGCCAAATGGGCATCATGCGAGACAACAAGGAAGAGCGCAACAGGATTTGTGCTATACTTCTTTGGAGCAGTACACTATGGCAGCAGAACAGAACACAAGCAACAAGAGCACTTTCATCAGCAGAGGCAGAGCTGTACGCAATTCAATAGCAATGCGAGAACACATGTACACAGTTGGCCTTTGAGGCCACACCACAACAGTCTCACACCAGTAAGTACAGTAGTCAGCACAGGTTGTTAAACAACAGTTGCACAGTTTTCACACAATGCTCTTTTAGCTTTAGGTTAGATACAGCCATGGGTCAACCCTGAAGCCTGTACAACCCCTTTTACATCTTTTGGGACAGCAACTTCTGCATGACATTCTGTACATGTTTCTGACAATGGCTCAGTACATGCTGCAGCCAGTTACAATAATTTGAGGTTTACAGGAACCTTTAGACATTCAGCTTTTACATCGATGGCTCAGCGTGCATACAAGACTTTGCACCCGCCGATGACAGCGCCAGAGGGCTTTACATTGGAGCCGGTGGATGTCATCATCCCGACTACGCCACAGTGCTGGTTCCACTTACAGTGGAGCAATACAATTTCATGACAACAACTGTCGCGTCGGAGCCGAACCAGGTACACAAGATTCCTGGCTACATGCGATGTCCCCACATTGGGTTTCGTTGGTCCTGTGCGGTATCATGGATTGCATTGGCTACATTACCTGGTTGATACATGAGGGTCATGAGTCATGACAGCACAACCGACATGGGCACGTTCTTCGTGCACAAGCTCAGCAGAAGAAGATTACAGTTTTCAATCGTGGATACATTGGGCAGGTTTTGCAGCTACACAGGAGTGTACATGGGTTTTGACACCTACAGAGCAGGCATCCGGGATTTTCTACAAGCTGACAGGTCACATCACGAACCTGTGCAGGAACATTCCTGTTGAGAGGGTCCTGAACACAAAGGATTCCCTCGACAGGATCCACGCAGGTTTCTTGATGGCGTTGAACATCGTACATATCCTGCAGTACAAACCATCCCGGAGCCGCTGAAGACAATGGTCATCGAATACATTGTCCAACATGGAATACAGCTGGTGGGAAACAGCACATACCTGAGCGATGATTTTGTCACAGCATCAGGGCTACAAGCTGCTCAACAAGAAGACGGTTATGGGTGACAGCGCCTGAGTACATCAAGTACATTTTGCCACAATGGCACACCGCAACTCGTGGTACAATTGGTCCGACGGCAAGGGACATCGTTGTACAGAATCTGCATTCTGGTGATCAGTTTACACGCAGTGGGTCCTTACATCATCCCGATCAACAAGGACACGTGTACATGTTGCAAAGTGCGCTAATCCGCCAACCCTTTCTCTAAAAAGGGGAGGCGCACGGGAAGGGTGGTTGGCGCATAAGTATAACCAAAGTTTCATCCTCATCAGCATCATCAGCTACGATGATTGTCATCCTCACAGTCATCGTCATCATCATCATCCTTACCATCATCAATTTCTTATTCCCTTATCGTTATCATCATCAGCATGGTCATCATCATCTCTTATTCGGCAGCGTTGCTGATGCAGAAGATGTTAGGATGACATCATCCTCATCAGCATCATCAGCTACCTTGATTGTTATCATCACAGTCATCGTCATCATCATCACCCTTATCATCATATCTTTCTTATTCTCTTCTCCTTATCATCATTATCATCATGGTCATCATCATCTCTGATTCGGCAGCGATGTCAGGATGATAGTTATCGTCACAGCCGTTAGTGATGCCAAGGATGCTACGATGATAGTTATCATCCTTGTCAAAGGATGCGATGATGATAGTTATCAAGGAACAAGCAGTGATGCAGAGGATGTTGTGATGATAGGTGTCATGACGCGGATGATAACGATCATCACGCCCGCGCGTGCCATTATCCTCATGGTCATCACGCCCGTGCCATTATCATCATGGTCGTCGTCATCTCTTATCAGGCAGCATTGGTGATGCAGAGGATGCTGCGATGATAGTTATCATCACAGCCGTTAGTGATGCCAAGGGTGCTACGATGATAGTTATCATCCTTGTCATCATCTTTATCATCATCTGATCATCACCTAGAATCATCTGATATCTTATTATATTATAAATAGAAATCAAAAGGGACGATAGACATCCTTGGCAATGCAAAGGATGCGATGATGATAGTTGTCAAGGAACAAGTAGAGATGCAGAGGATGTTGTGATGATAGTTGTCATGACGCGGATGATAACGATCATCACGCCCGCGCCATTATCATCATGGTCGTCGTCATCTCTTATCACGCAGTTTTTGTCACAGCCGTTCGTGATGCTAAGGATGCTACGATGATAGTTATCATCCTTGTCGTTTTTTTTTATTATCTGATCATCACCTGGCATCATCTAATATCTTATTATATATAGAAATCAAAAGGGACGTTAGACGTCCTTGGCAATGCAGAGGATGCGATAATGATAGTTATCAAGGAACACGTAGAGTAGAGATGCAGAGGATGTTGTGATGATAGTTGTCATGACGCGGATGATAAAGATCATCACGCCCGTGCCATTATCATCATGGTCGTCGTCATCTCATATCGCGCAGCATTGGTGATGCAGAGGATGCTGCGATGATAGTTATCATCACAGCCGTTAGTGATGCCAAGGATGCTACGATCATAGCTGTCATCCTTGTCACCATCTTTATCATCATCTGATCATCACCTGGCATCATCTAACAACTTGTTATATATAGAAATCAAAAGGGACGTTAGACATCCTTGGCAATGCAGAGGATGTGATGATGATAGTTATCAAGGAACACGTAGAGATGCAGAGGATGTTGTGATGATAGTTGTCATGACGCGGATGATAACGATCATCACGCCCGCGCGTGCCATTATCCTCATGGTCATCACGCCCGTGCCATTATCATCATGGTCGTCGTCATCTCTTATCAGGCAGCATTGGTGATGCAGAGGATGCTGCGATGATAGTTATCATCACAGCCGTTAGTGATGCCAAGGGTGCTACGATGATAGTTATCATCCTTGTCATCATCTTTATCATCATCTGATCATCACCTAGCATCATCTGATATCTTATTATATTATATATAGAAATCAAAAGGGACGATAGACATCCTTGGCAATGCAAAGGATGCGATGATGATAGTTGTCAAGGAACAAGTAGAGATGCAGAGGATGTTGTGATGATAGTTGTCATGACGCGGCTGATAACGATCATCACGCCCGCGTCATTATCATCATGGTCGTCGTCGTCTCCTATCAGGCAGCATTGGTGATGCAGAGGATGCTACGATGATAGTTATCATCACAGCCGTTAGTGATTTTATGGATGCTACGATGATAGTTATCATCCTTGTCGTCATCTTTATCATCATCTGATCATCACCTGGCATCATCTAATAACTTGTTATATATAGAAATCAAAAGGGACGTTAGACGTCCTTGGCAATGCAGAGGATGCGATGATGAAAGTTATCAAGGAACACGTAGAGATGCAGAGGATGTTGTGATGATAGTTGTCATGACGCGGATGATAACGATCATCACGCCCGCGCCATTATCATCATGGTCGTCGTCATCTCCTATCAGGCAGCATTGGTGATGCAGAGGATGCTACGATGATAGTTATCATCACAGCCGTTAGTGATGCTAAGAATGCTACGATGATAGTTATCATCCTTGTCATCATCTTTTTCATCATCTGATCATCACCTAGCACGTGCCATTATCATCATGGTCGTCGTCATCTCTTATCACGCAGCATTGGTGATGCAGAAGATGCTGCGATGATAGTTATCATCACAGCCGTTAGTGATGCTAAGGATGCTACGATGATAGTTATCATCCTTGTCATCATCTTTTTCATCATCTGATCATCACCTGGGATCATCTAATATCTTATTATATATAGAAACCAAAAGGGACGTTAGACATCCTTGGCAATGCAAAGGATGCGATGATGATACTTATCAAGGAACAACTAGAGATGCAGAGGAAGTTGTGATGATACTTGTCATGACGCGGATGATAACGATCATCACGTCCGTGCCATTATCATCATGGCCGTCGTCATCTCCTATCACGCAGCATTGGTGATGCAGAGGATGCTGCGATGATAGTTATCATCACAGCCGTTAGTGATGCTAAGGATGCTACGATGATAGTTATCATCCTTGTCATCATCTTTTTCATCATCTGATGATCACCTGGCATCATCTAATATCTTATTATATATAGAAATCAAAAGGGACGTTAGACGTCCTTGGCAATGCAGAGGATGCGATGATGATAGTTATCAAGGAACACGTAGAGATGCAGAGGATGTTGTGATGATAGTTGTCATGACGCGGATGATAACGATCATCACGCCCGTGCCATTATCATCATGGTCGTCGTCATCTCATATCAGGCAGCATTGGTGATGCAGAGGATGCTACGATGATAGTTATCATCACAGCCGTTAGTGATGCTAAGGATGCTACGATGATAGTTATCATCCTTGTCATCGTCTTTTTCATCATCTGATCATCACCTTGCGCGTGCCATTATCATCATGGTCGTCGTCATCTCTTATCACGCAGCATTGGTGATGCAGAGGATGCTGCGATGATAGTTATCATCACAGCCGTTAGTGATGATAGCTATCATCCTTGTCATCATCTTTATCATCATCTGATCATCACCTGGCATCATGTAATATCTTGTTATAGAAGTCAAAAGCGGCGTTAGACATCGTTGGCAACGCAGAGGATGCGATGATGATACTTATCAAGGAACAACTAGAGATGCAGAGGATGTTGTGATGATAGTTGTCAGGACGCGGTTGATAACGATCATCACGCCCGTGCCATTATCATCATGGTCGTCGTCATCTCCTATCAGGCAGCATTGGTGATGCAGAAGATGCTGCGATGATAGTTATCATCACAGCCGTTAGTGGTGCTAAGGATGCTACGATGATAGTTATCATCCTTGTCATCATATTTATCATCATCTGATCATCACCTGGCATCATCTAATATCTTATTATATATAGAAATCAAAAGGGACGTTAGACGTCCTTGGCAATGCAGAGGATGGGATGATGATAGTTATCAAGGAACACGTAGAGATGCAGAGGATGAGTTGTCATGACGCGGATGATAACGACCATCCCGCCCGTGCCATTATCATCAGGGTCGTCGTCATCTCCTATCAGGCAGCATTGGTGATGCAGAGGATGCTGCGATGATAGTTATCATCACAGCCGTTAGTGATGCCAAGGATGCTACGATCATAGCTGTCATCCTTGTCATCATCTTTTTCATCATCTGATCATCACCTGGCATCATCTAACTTGTGATATTTAGAAATTAGACATCCTTGGCAATGCAGAGGATGCGATGATGAAAGTTATCAAGGAACACGAAGAGATGCAGAGGATGTTGTGATGATAGTTGTCATGACGCGGAAGATAACGATCATCACGCCCGCGTCATTATCATCATGGTCGTCGTCTCCTATCAGGCAGCATTGGTGATGCAGAGGATGCTACGATGATAGTTATCATCACAGCCGTTAGTGATGCTAACGATGCTACGATGATAGTTATCATCCTTGTCATCAACTTTTTCATCATCTGGTCATCACCTAGCACGTCCCATTCTCTCATGGTCGTCGTCATCTCTTATCACGCAGCATTGGTGATGCAGAGGATGCTGCGATGATAGTTATCATCACAGCCGTCAGTGATGCTAAGGATGCTACGATAATAGTTATCATCCTTCTCATCATCTTTATCATCATCTGATCATCACGTAGCATCATCTAATATCTTATTTTATCGAGAAATCAAATTGGACGCTAGACATCCTTGGCAATGCAGAGGATGCGATGATGATACTTATCAAAGAACAAGTAGAGACGCAGAGGATGTTGTGATGATAGCTGTCATGACGCGGATGATAACGATCATCACGCCCGTGCCATTATCATCATGGTCGTCGTCATCTCTTATCACGCAGCATTGGTGATGCAGAGGATGCTGCGATGATAGTTATCATCACAGCCGTTAGTGATGCTAAGGATGCTACGATGATAGTTATCATCCTTGTCATCATCTTTATCATCATCTGATCATCACCTGGCATCATGTAATATCTTGTTATAGAAGTCAAGAGCGACGTTAGACATCCTTTAGACATCCTTGGCAACGCAGAGGATGCGATGATGATACTTATCAAGGAACAAGTAGACATGCAGAGATGATAGTCTTCATGACGCGGATGATAACGTCATCACGCCCGCGCCATTATCATCATGGTCGTCGTCATCTCCTATCACGCAGCATTGGTGATGCAGAGGATGCTGCGATGATAGTTCTCATCACAGCCGTTAGTGATGCTAAGGATGCTACGATGATAGTTATCATCCTTGTCATCATCCTTATCATCATCTGATTATCACATCTAATATCTTATTATATATAGAAATCAAAAGGGACGTTAGACATCCTTGGCAATGATGCAGAGGATGTTGTGATGATAGTTGTCATGACGCGGAAGATAACGATCATCACGCCCGTGCCATTATCATCATGGTCGCCGTCATCTCCTATCAGGCAGCATTGGTGATGCAGAGGATGCTGCGATGATAGTTATTATCACAGCCGTTAGTGATGCTAAGGATGCTACGATGATAGTTATCATCCTTGTCATCATCTTTTTCATCATCTGATCAACACCTTGCGCGTGCCATTGTCATCATGGTCGTCGTCATCTCGTATCACGCAGCATTGGTGATGCAGAGGATGCTGCGATGATAGTTATCATCACAGCCGTTAGTGATGCTAAGGATGCTACGATGATAGTTATCATCCTTGTCATCATCTTTATCATCATCTGATCATCCTGGCATCATCTAATATCTTGTTATAGAAGTCAAAAGCGACGTTAGACATCCTTGGCAATTTAACGCAGAGGATGCGATGATGATACTTATCAAGGAACAAGTAGAGATGCAGAGGATGTTGTGATGATAGTTGTCATGACGCGGATGATATCGATCATCACGCCCGTGCCATTATCATCATGGTCGTCGTCATCTCCTATCACGCAGCATTGGTGATGCACAGGATGCTGCAATGATAGTTGTCATCACAGCCGTTAGTGATGCTAAGGATGCTACGATGATAGTTATCATCCTTGTCATCATCTTTATCGTCATCTGATCATCACCTGGCATCATCTAATATCTCATTATACATAAAAAATCAAAAGGGACGTTAGACGTCCTTTGCAAGGCAGAGGATGCGATGATTATTTTTCAAGGAACACGTAGAGATGCAGAGGATGTTGTGATGATAGTTGTCATGACGCGGATGATAACGATCATCACGCCCGCGCCATTATCATCATGGCCGTCGTCATCTCCTATCAGGCAGCATTGGTGATGCAGAGGATGCTGCGATGATAGTTATCATCAAAGCCGTTAGTGATGCTAAGGGTGCTACGATGATAGTTATCATCCTTGTCATCATCTTTTTCATCATCTGATCATCACCTTGCGCGTGCCATTATCATCATGGTCGTCGTCATCTCTTATCACGCAGCATTGGTGATGCAAAGGATGCTGCGATGATAGTTATCATCACAGCCGTTAGTGATGCCAAGGATGCTACGATGATAGTTGTCATCCTTGTCATCATCTTTATCATCATCTGATCGTCACCTTGCGCGTGCCACTATCATCATGGTCGTCGTCATCTCTTATCACGCAGCATTGGTGATGCAGAGGATGCTGCGATGATAGTTATCATCCTTGTCATCATCTTTATCATCATCTGATCATCGCCTAGCATCATCTAATATATTATTATATATAGAAATCAAAAGGGACGTTAGACATCCTTGGCAATGCAAAGGATGCGATGATGATAGTTATCCAGGAACAAGTAGAGATGCAGAGGATGTTGTGATGATAGTTGTCATGCACGGATGATAACGATCATCACGCCCGTGCCATTATCATCATGGCCGTCGTCATCTCTTATCAGGCAGCATTGGTGATGCAGGGGATGCTACGATGATCGTTATCATGACAGTCATCCATTGCCCAATTGTTCAGTGGCATCCTTGTGTCTCTTTTCTAGCGAGCTTTTTCTCAGGGAAACACCTCAAAACAATATTTCTTAATTTGAGGTGTGGGAGTGGCATCCTTGTCTCTTCTTCCTGGCGAGCTTTTTGTCAGGGAGAGCACCTCAAATTAATATTTTTTACTTTGAGGTGTGGAAGTGGCATCCTTGTCTCTTTTTCTTGGCGAACTTTTTGTCAGGGAGAGCACCTCAAATTAAAAAAAAATTAATTTGAGGTGTGGGAGACTTTGTTTTGGGCTGCGTCATCGTCATCATCATCATCACTTGTGCTTCTTTTCTAGCGAGCTTTTTGTCAGGGAAAGCGCCTCAAATTAATATTTTTTTACGTTGAGGTGTGGGAGTGGCATCCTTGTCTCTTTTTCCTGGTGAACTTTTTGTCAGGGAGAGCACCTCAAATTAATACTTTTTTGAATATGAGGTGTGGGAGACTTTGCTTTGGGCTGCATCATCGTCATCACCATCATCACTCGTGCTTCTTTTCTAGCAAGCTTTTTGTCAGGGAAGGCACCTCAAATTAATATTTTTTACTTTGAGGTGTGGGAGTGGCATCCTTGTCTCTTTTTCCTGGTGAACTTTTCGTCAGGGAGAGCACCTCAAATTTATATTGTTTTAACTTGAGGTGTGGGAGACTTTGTTTTGGGCTGCATCATCGTCATCATCATCATCATCCTTCTCATCATCATCATGATGGTCCTCATCATCTCTTTCTTATTCTCTTATCCTTATCATAGCTATCATCATGGTCATCATCATCTCTTATTCGGCAGCGTTGCTGATGCAGAAGATGTTACGATGATAGTTGTCATCACAGCCGTTAGTGATGCCAAGGATGCTACAATGATAGTTGTCATCCTAGTCATCATCTTTATCATCATCTAGCATCGCCTCATATCTTATCATATATATATTGATATATTATTATATTCTATATATAGAAATCAAAAAGCGACGTGAGACATCCTTGGCAATGCCCATGACTGGGTGTCGGCAGCACAGGGCGGCAGCCCTTAAATCCGGCTACGCCTTGTGGGGTAGCATGTCGTCGCTAGGCAATTAGCCTGCTAGCTTTAGCTATAGGGGCTGCACCCTGGTGCCGCCGACCCTCGCCGCTTGGTCGTGATGCGCTGCCTAAATTCGGCACCTCTGCATCACCAGCTCGGGCTTGCGGTTTTGCTCGCCTGTGAAAAACCCTCGCAAAACATCGCGTATGTGCAGGGTTTGGGACATGTGGCTGACATCATCAGGGTCTGGGGTTGGGCCTGGGTGATGCTTCAGCGGGGCTTGGTCTGCATCATCAAGACTTCCTTCCAAAAAGCCTCTCAAGCCACGAAGCACTGTTTTTTAGAAGGTATCAGAGGGATATAAGCGAGGCTCATTTTCGCGCATTTTGGCGCCAAGCGCTACCGGGCATGCCGGCGATGCTGGGCCCTCGCTCTACAAAATGCTGTAAATACCGTCAAAAACTGCTGCGCTGAGCGGTTTGTTGTTGTTCTGTCCGTTTTGCTGTCGCTGTGGCTGGCTCGCGTGCTGCGCGGTCCTTGCTTTTTTCGCGTTGGTTTTCGGGCCTTCTGGCGCGCGCGCGCGTGACCCCATGTCAGCCTTCTGGGTTGGGGCCCGGCTGGGGCCCAGAAAGCTGGCATCCCCTGCATCATCTGGGGTTGGGGTGGGCAACACGCATAACCTAACCAACCATATCATAGCACAGAATATGTTTCTCATACAAAAAACATGACATGACATGGCATAACTTCAAAGAGGCGTAGCCGGCTAGAGGCCGCAGGCCCAGAAAATATAGCACAATTTGAGGAGGGGTGTTAATACACAACTGTCTTGTGCAGATTGCATACATGTGACAACCGTTACATGTCGGTACAAGGCCTTGAGCCTAGCTTTCGCCCGGATACAAAAAAGTGCTACAGTGCCGTGTCGTTCGCCTCACAGGTTTACACTTTCAGGTATCAACAGGTTCACACAGTCACATTGAGTTTAACAGCTATAGCTGCAATACAACACAGACACAAGGTGGATCAAACACCCTTCAAGCCAAGTTGTTCAGCTGCTATCGCACCGGACATCATCTCAACTTTTTTCGCGACTCTGTGCATCATGTTGATGGCAGCTCGCGACTCTGGGGAAGCTGTTGCGTTTCAACATCCAAACAAAAGAAACAGTGAGAGATGCGCGCAAAAAACAACAACAAACAACTGTGAGACTGAAAACATGGAGTGTGGACGACTTTGGGACCCTTTGGTCAGGCTGATGCTTTCAGCATTTGGCGACCCCTTGAAAGGTGCCGCATCAGCAAACTATGAAACATGCGGCCACGCATCTGGCCAACAGGGCTCCCAGTGAAACATGTTTCTTCATGTCAAGTTACATGCCATTCCTGGATAAGTGTAGAGAAACTGGAAGCCCCCGACGCGCTGCAATCGTGCCACCTTCGGTGAATCACATCATGTCCGCGTCGCAATCCTCCGCCCGCTCGTCCTGGGGCTGCGCTGGGAAATCTGCGCGCTTCGTCGGCATCGCTTTCTTGGTGACATCCAAATTGCCTCGGCCATGTGAATTCTTAGCGTCAGAAAAAGCCACAGTTGATGCCACCGTGTCCGCCGTATGTTTGCTCCCTCACCTTCCAAGTTGCCAAACACATACTGAAAGTCTTCGTATTCCATCCAGAACTTGCCGTCAAAGGTCAACTCGTGCGCCTGAAAGAGGAAGCTGCAACATGAGATAGCACCACGATGAGAGCCCCCTGTTAACAGGCACGTGAGTAAGAAACTCCATTCGAAACAGTATGTAAAATGAAACAATCTCAGACCTGAAATCTTAATCCCCCGGCGCCCAAAAAATAAAGAAAGCGGCTTTCCTTTTGCAAGGTGCAGTGCCCTAAAATCGGCTCAACTCAAGAGTCAAGCAACCCAAAACCGTTGCGCGCCATTTTGGGGCTCCGGTCCGATTCCGAAAGACACCGATCCGATTCCCGCCTTCAGGCCTTCCTGGATCGTTGGATTGGCCGCCCACTCGTCCGAGCGGTCGCTCCATGGGCCGCCCCATTCATCGTGGCCCCAGGGGTTCCGCAGCTGCACGAAGCGCAAGCCCTCAACCTCTTTGGCTTGGAGCACTGAGTACCTTGGGTTCTCAAAATGGGCTCTTCATTCCTTTTGGAGTTGCCACCCCTTTTGTTTGGCTTTAGGAATCGGAGCCCGTCCTCATAGCGTCCTTTTCAACCAAAAACAAAAGACCCGCCGGATGTGCGACATGTTGCGGCCCCTTTCTTTTCCTGGCTCACATAGGATGATGACATCATATCAAATTCCCTTGCGTCTTCGGGAAACCCGCCCCGGCCGGAAAAAAACATCCATAATGGTTTGCGTAAAAGGGATTTCGGCCCAGAGGTGGCGATTCACAGTTTGGCTCGCAAGAGAGAAAACAAACTCCCAAAAAATGTAAACAGACACGCGCCCACGGCTTGTCTTTGTTGAAACCGACCCAAACAGGGTACCGAAATTCAAAACAAAACACATCCACACATCGTATCACATCACATCAGGTTTTCGGCCAAGCCACGCGTGCTCCGGCATGATGCCAGAAAGGCGGTCATCACAAACTTTGTTCATCTGCGAACCCATGAGGAAATTGGACTGGTCGTATTCCAGGAGCAATTGCCAAACTGCAGATGCGGTATGACACAGTCTGACACAGAAAAGGTGGACCAAAAAAAGAGGCAAAGTGAGACATGACCCAGCAAGACAAGCATGTTTGCAGCGTCTAGCTCAAATTGCTGAACACCTTCAAAGACCATCCCCATTTCATTCAACCTGCGCATTGAAAAGATCATCCTCGGTCCAGTCAAGTCTCACTCCTCGCCATCAATGTCTTTCGTGTCCAGTGTCTCATAGATCGCAGTGTCAGGGTCATCGTCAACAAAACGCGGGTTGTCCACGATCTTTTCTGGTTTGCGCGCTGTTCGAAACATGAATCATGTTGTCGATTCCAAAATTTCCAAGACAAAAGCGTGCAGTCATCGCAGCCGAGCTTCTCTCATATTTTTTGATTGTCATTGGCGTGACTCTCTCTGCAGTCTTCTTTCCACCTGGTCAGCAATCACTGCTGCTATCCGATGATTCGCCGACAGATTCGCCGACAAAGACGCAGGGTGATTTGCCGACAGAAGCACCTACCCTAAGATGCTAGTAAAGCTATATATCTGTCAGGTATGATGCAATGATCAGCTCACCAGTTGTTGGTTCTCAGCTGCGTTTCATACGATCTTATCAAGCCCTGCGTTCAGTGCAGCCCAAAAGACGTGCGGGAGCCAAACTGGGGGCTCGAGGGCTCGCTTCGGCAAATCGGGTTGCTCGATTCGGAAGATCGAGCCTTTGTAGTACCAAACGAAGCCCTCCTCAGGGCCACTGCCCTCGAGCTTCTTGAACCTGATGCAAGATCTGGCCCGCTCCACTTCTTGAAAGCGAGCACCTGAGCGACATCTAGGAATTCGAAGCTCACATCAAGACATGGCAATGTCGAGGTTTTGGACTTGGGGCAATTCCACTGCTTGCCCAACATGCGGCCAACCGAAGGACCGTGATCGAGTTAAGCTGACAACACGCACACAGACACAGGCCGCGCTAAGCTTTTGTTCCCGAATGTGTAGCATAGGGTTGTCGTTTCATCTTGGGGGTCTGGGGGTGAAGCCTTCCGCAACCGTTCGCAACTGTTCGTGTGATTGCGCAATGGCTCTCCCACTGGGGAAGCGCAGCACGCGTGAGTTTGATGACTTGTGATGGATCAGAAGTGTTTCTCAGACGCGTCAATCAGAAGAAGTGTCGATCAGAAGTGTCGTTTTGTGTTGCTCAGAAGTGTCACTCAGCAGCGTCGCTCAGAAGTGTCGATCAGAATTGTCGATCAGAAGTGTTGCTCAGAGGTGTTGCTCAGATGCGTCGATCAGAAGTGTCACTCAGAAGTATCGATCAGACGTCTGGATTAGAGGTGTTGCTCAGAAGTGCGTCAGAAGTGTTGCTCGGAAGCGTCGGTCAGAAAAAGTGTCGATCAGAAGTGTTGACTAGAAGTGTCAGCCAGAAGCGTCGATCAGAAGAGTCGCTCAGAAGCGTCGATCGGAAGTATTGCTCAGAAGTGTTGCTCAGAAGCGTCGCTCAGAAGTGTCGATCGGAAGTGTTGCTCGGAAGTGTGGCTCAGAAGTGTCGATCAGAAGTGTTGCTCGCAAGTGTTGCTCAGAAGTGTTGATCAAAAGTGTGGATTAGAAGTGTCGATCAAAGTGTCGACCAGAAGTGTTGGTCAGAAGTGTCGCTCAGAAGTGTCGATCAGAAGCGTTGCTCGGAAGTGTCGATCGGAAGCGTTGCTCAGAAGTGTTGCTCGGAAGTGTCTATCGCTCAGAAGCGGCGATCAGAAATTTGGATCAGAAGTGTTGCTCAAAAGTGTAGAAGGGTTGCTCAGAAGCGTCGTCAATCAGAAGTGTCCATCAAAAGTCTAATTGCTCAGAAGCGTTGCCACGAGCTAAGAAGTGTCTATGGGCAGTGTGGGTCAGAAGTGTTGGTCAGAAGTGTTGCTCAGAACTTGTGGATTATTGTTGATGAGAAGGGTTACTCAGAAGTGTCGATCAGCAGTGTTGATCAGACGTGTTGCTCAGAAGTGTCGCTCAGAAGTGTCAATCAGAAGTGTTGCTTGAAATCGCACAGAAGTTTCCATCAGAAGTGTTGCTCAGAGGTGTCTCTCACAAAAGTGACGCTCAGAGGTGTGATCAAAAGTGTTGCTCAGGGTGTCACTCATTGCTCAGAGGCGTCGCTCAGAAGTGTGAGTCAGAAGCGTCGCTCAAAGGGCTTTAATATGCAGAAATGTCGCTCAAATCGTTGCGCAGGAGTGCCGCTCAAAGTGTCGCTGATGTGTGTGTGTGTGGAAATGTGGCTCAGAAGTGTCGCTCAGAGGTGTTTTCAGAAGTGTCGCTCAGGAGTGCCGCTCAGTGTTGCTCAGAAGTGTTCTCCAGAGGTTTCGCAAAGAAGTGTCACTTGGGAGTGTCGATCAAAAGATATGTGTGTAGAATGTCGCGCGTGTCGCTCAAAAGCGTCGCTAACATGTGTGTGTGTGTGTCGCTCAGAAGTGTCTATCAAAAGTGTTGCTCAGGAGTGTCGATCAGAAGTGTTGCTCAGAAGTGTCGATCAGAAGGGTGTCGCTGAGAAGTGTGATCAAAAGTGTCGCTCAGGGGTATCGCTCATTGCTCAGAGGCGTCGCTCAGAAGTGTCGCTCAGGAGTGTCACATTTAAGTGCCACGTCACTCGAATTGTCGCCACTTTGTAGCACAAGTCTAGTACGCAAAGTACAGGCTTCCAGCTCCAGCGGGAAAATCGCGACTTTATGTAGTACAAATCTTCCAGCTCCAGCTGGAAAATCGCGATTTTACGTAGCACAAGTGTAGTGCACGAAGTACAGGCATCCAGCTCAAGCTGGAAAATCGCAACTTTGAAGCACAAGTCTAGCTCCCAATGGTTCCGTCAAGACGGTTAGAGAGTCCCACGGTAAAAAATTAACTTTCACGGCAATTCCCATTTCGTGGCAATGAGTAACTTCTTAATTGAGTTGCAAAAAAACTTTTCACGGCAACGGCAACGGCCAAAAAACGCGGCAACAAAAACGGCAACGGCAACGACAACGGCAGTTGTTCAGTTCAAGCACGACTTGGCCTCATTTGCTTTTGCTGGCTTGCGTCCGTTTGGCGGCTCAGAAACTGCGCGCTTCCAGGCTGCGTTTGCTCAAGTTGTTTCGACCCTGGTTTTCCCTGCCCGCCATGCCCGCGCTTCTCAACAAGCGGGCGCGCACGACAGTGCATGAAAAAATCATTCCTAACAGCGAAGAAAGACCGCGACCTCACTGCTCTCTTAGAACGGGCGCTGCAAGTCGGCTGGAAGTCGGCGCCATCCGCAGCCCTTCCCGCCTTTGTGGAAGGCTGCTTGCGCAACACATCTCAGCCGCTCTCGGACGCCGCAACTGCCTTGGGCGACGACGGCTGGCCAGACTTCATGGCCATGCTTGGGCGGCCATGTAAGCCGCGGAGCGCCAGCAAGGCCTCGCAGGCGCTCAGCACTTTTTTCTTGCTTTTCTTTGTACGCATGACCTCCGCACGCATCTCTGTTTGCTCTGCGCAGGCCGCGCTGTCGGTGGAGCCTGTCCCATGAGCAGAAGCAGGCAAGGACGCCACTGACGACCGCGAGCCCGCCAGCCCGGACGAGGACGCCCAGGCCAGGACAAAGCCGCCGCCCCGGACATCGAGGCCGGCAAAGAAGCCAGCCGCGAAACAACAGGCGGCCACTTCAAGTGCTCCTGGAAAGAAGCAGCTGAAGATGACAAGTGCATCGCCAGCCAAGCCAAGAGTGCAGGGCGAAGGGCATTCCTTTTGATTAGTTCAGGCGGCCCACGCAGCAGTGCTAGCCGAACGCGGGAAAACACGCATGTTCGACATTGCTGCGTCCAGGATGTTCTTTTGCTTTTTGCTTTTTGCGCTGCTTGAGCGCCGCAGCTGCCATGTCCTCAGGCTCGGAAGCCACGTTGCCCCTGCCTGGCGCCAGCTGCGGTGACATGGGATGTTGTCGACAGCCCAGAGCCCTACGAGTTCGGAGTTGACAGGCAGCAAGCCCCGCACTGCAAAGATGCAGAAGCTTTGCTCGTCTTTGGTGTGGAAGTCATGGGCCGCACCACAGACGAGAAGGTTTGCGCCATCCTCTCCGGCCTGAACTGCGGATGCCTTCTCGCAGGAGAGCGCGCAAGGCGCTTGCCCGCGCCTGTGGCGCCAGCCGGACCTGAGCCAGAGGAAGAGCCGTGCCCCTTGAAGCGCCTGCGGGGTAGTTCGCAGTTGGATCACTTGTGTGAAGCGCGCGGCGAATTCCAGCGCCACGCCCGTCGCGGAGCCGCAGTCGTTGACAGTTTTGCACGGTGATCTGCCTGCTGCAGATTCATTCGAAGAAGGAGGCCTTTCCGGCTGATTGCTCGCAGCCTGTACCAGTATGCGGGAAATTACTTACGGGGCTTATGAGTAGGTTATAACTTAGGCTATAAGTTCTGTAATATAGGTTATAAGTTCGATAACCTGCGTAAGTGCGCCGTAAGTTCATTTGAACTTATAAGTTAGTCGGGGTCTACTTATGGGACTTATGGCTTGTGCGTCAAGTAACTTACGATGAACTTAGGAACTACTTAGGGTGAACTTACGTTCGCCAAAAAACATGAGCACCTGCGCAGGGTCTATAGTGTGATAGGGTTGCTAAAAATATATAGTCACCCCACATAGGCTTTTCTGTGTCCCCAGAGTAGAAAACTTGTATTTGCTTTTTGCTCGCTTTTTTTCTTCCGCCGCTGCTTCTGGCTCATTTTTGTTTTCCCGCAGCTGCTGGTTCAAGCTTTTGCTTTGCGCGGCACAATGGCCTTGGCTTGTCTGCAAGCCGTGTCACGGTGCCTCCCCGCGGCCGCGGCCGACCCGGGTGGCAGAGAGAGGCTTCTGGCATCTGCGCAGACTTCTCTGCGGGGGTTTTCTTTTTTGCGTCTTTTGTGTTTGTTTTTTTTCCGGCTCTTTGTGTTTCGGGCTATAACTCAAATTGTCCAATGTCGGCATTTGTCGGCGAGGTTTTCTTGGCACCCTGGATTCGTAGCCCCTCCCCATGTCGGCGTCACGTGCCGTAGTAGTAGGGCCCCGGAACCCCTGACGTCGGCCAATGTCGGCATTTGTCGGCATTTGTCGGCGCATGTTTTTGTGGTTTTTGCCTGCGCTTGATATCGACCGCGGCTCTCTCGGCTCGAGACTCCTTTGTTTTTCTTTTCTTTTTCTTCCTCGCAGCTGCCCGCGCGCTATGGCGGAGACTGCGGCCCCGAAGGCTTCGACTCGCCGAACTGAGGCGCCACTCTGAGCACCCGTGCGGCTCCGTCTGGCGGCACACTGGGCGCGAGATCTTAACGCGGCCCAGCGTGGACGCTCCCTCTACAATTCCGGCTATGTGGACCACGTGCGACCAGGACTTGATCTGCCTGCACTAGTTATAACCTTGCCGCTGTTTGGTGGCTTCATGTGTATATAGCGCGAACTCAACACCCGTGCCGAGAATGCGTTGTGGAAAAAAAGTACTGCCGCGGCTGCCGCCCGAGTAACTTAGGGTGAACTTATAAGTTCGTTTTAACTTGCATAAGTTAACTGCTTCATAAGTAACTTATAAGTTAGATAAGTAACTTATAAGCCCCGTAAGTAAGTGATTTCCTGCATGCTGGTAGCGTTTCTGCGATGGTATTCTGCCATGGGCCTGCGATGGTGAGACAGCAACGCAGATTGCATGGGCTCGCTTTGGTTGTCAGCGCGTTGCTTTTGCAGATTGCTTTTTTCTTTGTGTGTGCGGCCGGCTATGACGCGCGTCGCACGCCGGTGGCAGCCCCCGCCCCCTGACGCTCCGCCGCGCTGCCGCTTGCTGGAGGCCGCGCTGCAC